TGTTTATAACCGGTTTATAAAAATGACTTGATAGAGTCACGCCAGAAACAGAGAATATTGGTTTTTTGCTTTTTGTTTTTTTAGTTTTTGTTAGTTTTGTCTGTTTTTGTGCTCTCCTTTCCGTTCTTTGTCCTTTCTGTTCTACTGAAATACTTATTTCAAATTTCATTAGCAAAGAAATTGCGACAGACAGCTGCTGGGCTTCTGTTAAAAAAAAGTTAACGTAACATGCTACTTCGCAATCATTGTGTCATGAATTCGTGAAGAGTGAATGACACAATTTGAAAAGGAAAAAAAGCAAAAAATTCATGCTTTCTCTACAGATCTTTGGAGCTAAACATATCTGTCGTCAAACCACCCTCTCAAGAGAGAGATGGATTATCTTTTCAACGGGCGACAAAAAATATCAATTTCAACTTCGCGAACAGTCACCCAATAAATTTTCAGTCTTTTGTGCTTTCTTGTGTTGTATTGAAGGTTGCAAAGCAAAGTGGCTCAATTGAGCGTGTGCAGCGTCCATTGCGACATTGCAATACTACAATTCATGTTGCTTTGTAGATCTTTCATTTCATCATTATACCTTATTGTTAAGTATTTTCTCAACTTTCAAGATTTTTTGCAGAAAAGTTTTCTCGAAAATTAATCACGCCAACTTAAATGCCATGCTATATAATTCTTTAATCAACACGGATGATATACCTTCACGACCACTTTACTAGACTTTACTATAGTAGTGAGGGAAAATAACTGCGTTGCCAAAGGATGGGAGAAAGCAGGAGTTGCTCACATCAAAGTCGCGTTGAACAAAAAGGTCACGAAATTTGATTTGCGTCACGTTGGGTAACTTAAACCTCTTTAAAATTATTCACTTTTTGAACATTTTGCCTTCGTTTGTACAGTAAAACGCAGAAAAGCGAAAAAGCTCACATAGAATAGGAAAGTTTAGCATATTGACCGTCAATGAAATCCAATTTCGGGGAATCAGAAAAATATTAGGGTCGGCCTTTCGGGTCGGAACAATGCCGATTCTAGTTTGTTTCCAAAAAAAATTCGAGCGATTTCCGGACTATCAGGGAGACTAAACTCGATTTCTCGTCACGCAAGGATGTTTTTCTAAAAGGCCCACTATTTTCGAAATCTACGTTAAATTTGGCGGGTTTTGAAACCAAATTTGTTGGGGTTTGAAAAATTTTGCTGTCGGCCTTATGGCAAGGAAGTTTGTGAAGTTCGGCTTAATAGCTCTCATTGTATCCTGCGCCTTGATTGTCCGTGTCGCGGAAGCTGCAACTGGTCATGAGAGTACGAATGAAGAAGATTTCCGTGGAGGTAGCCGTGGCGATAACCCAGTGTTCATTGCATGAGGAAATCAGCGAGTAAGGCCCAAATATTTAATACCGTAGAATTTTCGATTGATTTCATTCGAGGATCTTAAAAAAACAGTCATTTAAGTAATTTTATTTTTTATACCCACATGTTTACATTCTATGTAATTATTATATGGCTTTGGCTTGTGGTCGATATAACACGCGCTCTGATTGGCTAAGACAGAGATCTGAGCGGCATTATGTATGGGTTATTGACCAAGTTCTTTTTTTGCGTGTTTATGGACCTCGACTCCGTCTCGGTCCATAAACACAAACAAAAAAAAGAACTTGGCCAATATCCAACCATGTTGACCTAACAAGATTGATCAAAAAGGGGATTTGTTATATGGCTTTCGGGGAAATTTTTCTTGCGGGACACTGCGGGTAGTCCCGAGCGGGCAAGATAGCTCCATCTTGCCCGCTCGGGCAGCCAATCACAGCGCAGGATTTGATTCATCTTGCCCGCTCACGCAGCTAGCCATAGAATAAGTAGCCTTATTATATGGCTGTGTCTCACAAGGACTGGGAACTACCGAATTCACGAATTTGATTGGCTGAAATCGATATTGACCGCGGTCTAGATTTTCCCATCTAGACCGGTATCCAGACCGGTTTCATTTTGCGTTGAAAAAGTAGCAAACTAAAATACAAAAATGTTCACCATTTTCTTTTATTTTCTTCTCAATCGTTTGTGGAAGTGCCATAAAGCCTGATGACAAAAAATAGGAAGAGAGGACGAGCAAATTTCGGCAGGTTTAAGTTAAGCTCATCGCCGTTCGCAAGCAAAATGTCAGTTAGTACAAACCAGTTACATTAAACGAATTAAAGTTTTCTTCTTTGCCATATAATAAACATCTTATTAACCGAGCTAAGTCGGTCTGTACTCACGACCTCGGTCAAGATTGTCCCATACAGACTTCCTGCTCGGTTAATAAGAGCTAAGTATAAATGCCCATGGGCCGATTACGGATTATGCAAATTAGGAAGAGCCCGGCTCTGAAAATTCAAGCGCATTGAAACGATGAAAGCCAATAAAAAACAGTAAGAGAAAGTAAATTTAATTCCGAGTAGCTAAAAGTTTAGAGATTTTTCTTTAAAAAAATTTAGATGGAAGTCGTTTTTGACTTACCAGCCGGTAACCTTGGCGGGCACTAGTGCAAAACAATCAAAGTTTGCCAAGTCTTAAGTAAAGCTAAAATCGCTAAGTGAAAAACACCATCGGCAGATCGGTCATGCATCCACGAAGAAACTTGTCATCTTAGTCACAACAATTACCGAAATATTGAACTCCGTCACGGTTCTCATCAAATAGATTCCCTCGCTTTAACACAAACAAGTGTAAATCAGCTTCCAGGATCATCAGATGTAAACAATCGGGCGGTTTCTGTCGGTAGCAGTGTTTCTGATAACGGCAGGAAGTTTTAGACGTTCACAAGGCCACAGGCAACCCAAGCTCTCAATGCGAGGATTTTTTTTTCACTTTTATGCGAACTTTCAGTGTAACGTGACACGTGGCCGCCTGTGGTGTGACGGCTTCTCTATTATCCTCTGTGCCTTGCCGGGCCTCCGGTTCCCTCAAAGAACAATTAGTGCTGTTTGACAATGATATACACTTTCCGATCTCAACTGAAATAGGTTATGGTTTGCAAAGCGAAATACAAATTAAAAATCCATATATAATATTGCTAGCACAAATTTTCAAGCGTATTGCCCTGGCAGAGGAAAGTTACAGGATTTGCCGCGATAAACACGATATCGGCATACCGGTATTTTATTAATTAAAGACTGTATTTGAGCTCTGGGGTGAAATCAAATAAAGAAAATAATTTATTTTAATTGAAATACAACTGTAGAGTATTAAACAGCCTCGTGAGTAATTTTAATGGAGTAATAGGTAGTAGTGGAACATCCTTTCAATATCTGCAATATTACCGCGCCGCGGTAATGTTGAAAGGATGTTCCACTAGTATCCCAGGGGAAGAGTGAATTTAGCAAACTTGTGAAGACCTTGGAAAATCGTTCCGTCTGCGACTTCCAAAACTTCTTGGGTAGATCAATGATCCTTCACAGCAGTGACGATGTAGTAAATGGTAGGGTGCACTGAGACTCGGCCGGGGGTCCCTACGTTTTACGCCTGCAACGCAGGCTAGTATTTCGCAATCATTACAACAAGGCAGTACGTGATAGACGGTTCTTTCTCTGAGTTGTGTCACTGCTTAGGATTTGGGCGACGACTCGTGTGGGTGCACGTACTTCTTTTAAACAACTGTACCGCCTCTCCATGCTACGAGGCGCAAAGCGTCGACACTGCTACAGGTGGCTGCAGAATGTTCGCCTCTGTACATAGTCGATCAATATGCAATGTAGTAAAGCCCACTGTAGGAAACACGAACTTTATCTTCGCTCCCATTGCCCGAAAATACGATACTAGTGCTACTGACGTCTGTCAATCAATCAGTTCACCCGACACCCGCCTACAAAGAAAGTCTGACGTCATTCAGTTCACTGTCAGTCATGATTGAGGGGCAAGTAATGTAGTTTTGCATCCGATGCGCGAGGAATTTTAGATTTATAGGAATAGTCGATCGCTTTGCAATCATTTCATCAAAAGAAAAAAAAAATTGTCCGGCGCCCAAGACGCAGTATGACCGGCTAGATATCAATTCAGGTCCCAAATCGTTTGAAGACCGTTTTCAGTACGTGGATCACGGAGCACATTGCGTTTCCCCAAAAACATAGTGTTTGTTTATCTCTAGGCAATTTTTATGCATTTAGTAAATATTCGATTTTCCGCTTTCGTCACAGCATAAATAATGCGGCAGAGAAAGGACACCTTAGATCGACACTAACGTGCAATGTCGTCAGCAGGATAACGCATGTAGAGATAGCAATACTTTTCACCTTCACACGTGCACATGCCGGGGTCAAGTGGAAATAAAGTACATTTTCTCACGGTCAGGTTTTGCCTTTTACAAAGAATTGTTTGTTAAGTTAAGTTACCAAAGAATGGTACGAGCTACAAACTAAACTGCTAATGGTATCTGTGCACCGTCTGTAAAAATTAGAAAGATTCTGGCTTTCCGTGATCGAACCCATTCGTTTTGGTCTGGTTAATGATAACAGGAAATCAGAAAGACCTCGTCGCTCAACATTAAATTGACTTTATTTGTGGTCACTGAAAGCCAAGAAGGCAGATTCCTGTCCAAGGTAAATAAAGAAACAACCGAGTAAGAAAGTAAACAATCCCCTGGAGATACATCTACTCATCCGGTAGAGAGAGAAAACGTTTTTTCAAAGCTCATACCACCTGAATATGTATGAAAGCTTAGAAAACACTTTGTCTGGAACGGAAAATTCCCGCTGTTATTTTTTTCGGACGTTGAATCAGTGTATTAAACTTCACAAGAATAATCAGTGTAATGATCGTTGCATTACAACAATTATCGTTAAAAGTTTAATGATGCCTTTCGTGTTTTTCGTCTGTGTACAAAGAAATTATTGTATCACCCACGCGTTACTAATGTTATGCAAAAGTTCCAGTTTGGTGAGAACGTCTCCTTTTCCCGTACCCGGGTCCCCGTAGGAGCATGGCATACATAAAGACATGTCAATCATTTCTCATGACAAATCGTTTCGGAGGAGGTCTTCGCCTATTTAGAACGGCGTCAATTGAGGTATCGAGTAAAACCACTTACCTTCAGAACACGTACGATACCATTTATATGGACAGTTTCAACTGCTGGTCACACAGTAACGACAACAACAGCGATTCAAGATAGACAACAATAGTTTCCAACTTTGGCGAAAAACATTCACTGCACCAACGATGTCTTCTACGAAAGGACAAAGTATGAATTATTTATCTCCGCCATACGCGAACTCGGACTGCGGCAGCCTACGAAGCTGCTCGTCAATCTGTTCATCGATTTCATCAGCAGCTGGTGTAGGAGAAGTCTACATCAATGCCGCTTACGATAATTTGGAAAGTGGCGATGTGATTTCGAGTTCAAACCATGATTATGAAGACTTGCAAAGTATAAGAAAAGAGCTTCCCGCCCAGGGCAGAAGAAGCAGGACAAACGAGCTTTATGAACCCACCGGGCGATTGTCAGAACGCGCCAGACAAATCAAGAATGGTTTAGACGAAGAAGACTTACAGAGTATAAGAACAGACTTAACAGAATTACCTGCCCATGGCCACAGAAGCAGGGACAACGATCTTTATGAACCAACAGGGCCTAGGAAGCATCGCGTGAGACAAATTACAGAATGTTCAGATGATTCGAACGCGTCAGTCTCGTTCACTGACGCGTTTCTCTGGAAGAAGGATAGTTGCCTTAGCAAGTTGATCCTTTGTCTTATTCTAGCCTTCTCTGTAGCCGCCTTGGCACTAGTAATTTTAATTATCAATGGCACAGTGGGTCCCAAGTGTGGATGCAAGGATCTTAACTCAGGTATGTGACTGTACTCGAGGGCGTGTCCAGTTTTGTTATTCTTTTTTTCAGTAGTATTTTAAAAGGGAAAAAAACTGTTTGAATGAAAATCCTTCTTTGCGTGCATCTGATAGCACCTTCGCCAAGTGCGTGTCAAATGTCAAAACGCATTCTTACACGTACTAAGGTCTACTCTGGGTGGTCACTGGGTAGTGTCAAAAAAATTCCTTGGGCTGTTCTTTATAATATTAAACCAGTGGAAACTTCTCAATTGGAATTCTGACGAGAGATCATTTCAGTTAAGCACGTGGAGAAGCGATTCAGTCACTCATTCATTTATTCACTCATTCATTCAAAGAAATTTACGAATGTCAATTTTAGCAGGGCGCCCTTTTTTCGTTCACAAACCGGAAGTCTTTAAAATTCTGCGAGTCACCCCAAGGTTTCCCTTTAGTTAGAAAAGATAATTTAGCTCAGTTGTGTGTAATGTGGGTCGGGCAGAAAACGAAATGAAAAGTTCTTTTATTTATTCACTTTCAACGCGCTTCAATTTACATTTCAATTTCCTGATAAACAATTACATATTACATAACAACAAAACATCAGTTACATCTTTATTGTTTACTCATTGAATGCACGCCTAGTGTTTAAAGGGTCTTGCTCGCCTTAACACCAAAATTGGTGGAATTTGTTATCTTGCGCCAAAGCACTTTTTCAAATTCTCGCCCGAGCTATCTTTTGTCATCACAAATTCTAATGAGCATGATTCCAGAGGTCCTCTGACACTGGAAAACAAAAGCAGCGGAACTTTTGATTGTCAATAAAATAATAACCCTGGTAGTATCTGCTTTATGCCTGACGAAAACAAATTTTATTCAGTAACCGGGTTCGGTATGCGTGTGATGATCTTTGATCACAAGAAATGCCGCCTAAGAGGGGTCACATTTATAACATGCCAATAAACCCACAACGGAAAAGGAAAGATTGCCTGTTGATACAACCTTGGGATGAAAGAAATATAAACTTCCTCTCAGCACAGTAACCCGAGGGCAAGCGGGAAAAAACAAACCCTCTCCTGGTTGCTGGCATTCTTCAGTTGTTGGCGCTATCGATGGAATGTGGCCTCTGTGTTATTCTCTTACGACATAGGATTTTGTATAAACAATTTTGCTTAATTAAAGCTCTATTTGTAGTGCGATTAACATTTTTACATTGGATCAATAAATAATCCACAATCTTTTCTCTCACTTTTTCCTGTTTCCTTAATCTACATATCTGATATGTTCGCGAGTTCTAAATTCCGCGCAGTCGTGGTTTCTATTTTAGACTGTCAATATTTTGGCGGGAAACGCTGTGTCAAGACTAGGTCACAATTTAGGCGGGAATTCGTGGTGTGCTTAGAGCCCCAAGGCGCGCTGTTTATTTCGATGGCGTATTTCATTGAGGAACAACTTTCTGTTCCCTGTTTGTTTTATCCATGAATGTTCTTTTTTCATTTCCTAATAATTGGGTGTGTGGTAATCATTTGTATGTGCTGTATTTGTAATATTTTTTGGAAACTTGATTTGAAATATTAATGTACAGTTAAACATATGTTAATCTTGTCAATGTTGTATTCTCTTGTTGGAATGTCACTGAAATGGTGTTTACATTTCCAAATCCATCTAAGGATACTCTTGTTTTGTTCTGGCCTGTTCTTGTTATATGTGTTGCTAATAAAACCTCACACGTAGTGTTTACTTATGCTGAATTTCCGGCCAGACCTCCAACTTGAAGAGAAAATGAATCTAACAGAAGTTCTGTTCTTTTTTCTCAGGTAACAAAGGTGATGCGCCAAGTACGGGAATGCAAAGCGTGTCGGTGCAGAATTTGCTGAGACGAATTCAAGATTTGGAGAATAACATGTTGGCCATGGAAGCTAAAATGGTACTGTTTGTGAAACGTTATACCGTAACATAAATATTTAGGCGAGATCAGGAAAGGTGATACAATTTCCTCAACGTAGCAGGACGTAAAGCAAAGGAAACTTTCATGTGTGGTCGTGTGACATAACTTACATGGCGAATCCGATCTCTGAATAGGGACAGTTGATCTTTTAGTGTTCCCAACAGTGTATCCTTTTGATAATAAAGGAGGTTCTTAATGCAGTATTTTTGTCTGGCAGCGACAGCGTCTATTTGTCTGGTTGTGACAACTTCTCTTTGTCCTTTTAGTAATTTATAAATTCCCGCCTCCAAGGAACGAAATGGCCTTAAAGGGATGAAACAAATAGCGGCAGAAAAAGACATCTGTATGTTATAACTCGTTTGCTCCAGGCGCTCGTGTTAAATTTAAACGGTACAATCAAAGTACTTGTCTGTAGTCCAGCTGAATTTCCACTACCTGTACCCACCACGCAATCTAGGCTGAGTTTTCATCAATCAGTGACCGCATTAGGTTTTTACTCACAAATTGGTATGACTTGCTAGTTTTCTTTGATTAAGGTGCTTCCCATTTAAGTTCTGTAATTTCATAAACTGATAAATGTTTGTTTTGCCGTTTCTCTTTATCTAGAAAGCACGAGACAATGCAGTGGAAATGTTCGTCACAAAACATGAGAGTCAGGTTTGTGTACTTCCAACTGGTTGTTGCCATTTAAGTCGAAATTGTCACTGAGAGCTACCAAAGTAAGGGCTGCGTGACAGCTTACTTCGTGAAAATTTGAAAATAGAGCATCCTTCACATTGTCACAACTTTAACACCATGTATTTCTGATATTCACCGACAGGTCGAAGTCCTGAAGGCTCAGGTCAATGAGACTGCCAACAAGGTATGTTCTGTGAAGAGCAACGATTTTCTTCATACTCTTAATCATCAAGATTAAGATAGGCAAAGTTTGATATATTTGCGCAGGAGAGTGGATCATTAGAACGCGCGAGATGCGCGTCGCGGATTTAGCATTTCGTGCACTCGGGAGTGTAAAGTCGTGAAAGAACATTCTAGGTAGTACTAGGTAGCTGATTAAAGAACTTAACTGGCATTTCAGAATACCAGACTAACGAAAAAGAAATGAGATTCAATATTTTCTTAACACTTGTTTTGAGGATGCTACTCTGCACCGTACACCCCCAAAGACGCTTCATACCTCCGGGTTTTTATTTACAGGATTTTAATCCTGCATTGCAGGCTAGTGCATGCAAATAAAAGTACAAAGGTGAACTCTTGGCCGCATTCATAGTCATTCATCTACGCCAACGTTACAGGCGTTGGTTGTTGTTCTGATTCTGTCTGTGCCCTCGTGTTCTCTTCTCTTGAAAACCTCAATGTTAATGGAGGATATTTCTTTGCCAGGTGGCCACTGTGGATGGTGTGTGGGTAAACATGACCAATACACACCATGCCTTTGAGAAGAAGCTTGACACCGAGTTTAAACAACTAAATAACTCAGTGAAGGACCTCAATAAGAATGATAAGGAGATAATATCAACAGTGAATGAACTGCGTCAAAATCAGATTTTAACAGAGAGGATGAGCGAGAGGTTAGCCGTCAATGTTACCGAACTGGAGACACGAGTTCAAGGGCTGAGCAAAACCAACAGTAACATCAGCAGCAGTGTAGCGCGTTTGGAGAAAGGATATACCGAGATGAACAATTTGATGAAAGCACTTCAAGCAGTCGACGGTGCACAGAATGCTTCACATCAAGACCTTCAGTCTATGCACAACCGTTTAAAAGAATCTCTGACTACAGTTAATGCAACAATGAATGAAAAGGTAAAATAAGAAAAAACTTTTTGCATTTCGGTATGTAAAAGATTCTGTACTCTGGCCAATGTTTTCAACACAATAAAAGCGTATCTCGGCTTCCTTAGCATGCAACGACAAGGGTGCTTTTGGAGAACCACAAGTTTATTAGTTTTATAACTATTAGGTGTTTTACCCTCTATAATTAAAGATTGATTGATTGGTTGATTGATTGATTGGTTGATTGATTGATTGCTACAGTCAATGAACTTTTTCGATCATACTTTTTCATGTGCTTTTTTATTCCGCACTTTTCAAATGTGCATGTAGGTTCGAATATGTGATTCCATTTATTGATCTGTCAGTGTCATTCATCCTTTTTTAGCTAAATGCTCTTGGCTCTGACAGCGGCAAACCGGCTGCAAACTTCAGCATGTGTAAACACACACTCACAAAGGGGGCTCCTACAACAGCCACTGAGAATTCCGGTTTGTCAGAAGCTTTTTACACTGAGCCGAAGGTAAATATTCACATCATAGACTACTGTTTCAAAAGCTAGTAACCTCCCTGCTGCAAGAGAAAATCGTGCATCAGGAGAACTCACACAATAATTTCAACTGTTATGAAGTCTTAGGCAGCTTTGTTAGTAGATCGAGTATTTCTTTCCGCCAAAAAAAGTTATGAATCCTGAAGATAAGTGCGGTGGGTTCATCTCGCTAACATTGTAAATAGCATATCTTTNCCCCCCCCCAACCACAACCTGTAAAATGTCACTTCTACCCCAACAGAAAGAAAACTCTCATTTGTAGGTACCCCCTGTTAGCGAACACCCTCTATTGAGTGGACACCAGCTTGAGTCCCTAAATTATTTTCCCACACAACTGATGTGTTACGTGATTTATTTACATTCCTCGCTATTTCGAACTTAAAACCATTACCCTTAGAGTTGCCCTTCAGTTAGTTATGATCGGCTATTTCAAACTATTTTCCTTTTTTTTTCTGCGAGTTCGAAACAGCAGGGTTCAACTGTATTAAACATTCTATTAATATTTTTTCTATTGATTGATTTTCACCAGAATCGACGTGCTATGGGGATAACGTGTTCTACTGATTACGCTAGACATTACGAACTGACTGAAGTATCAGAAGGAGCATTCCGTTGTTCGTGCACATCTTTGTCTCCAGCTTTCGGTAAGAACAAGAACAAGATGGCGTGCCATATCCATGTATGGGAATGTCCGATTTGATTACTTTGGAACAAATATTTGTAATCTTCAATGACCCTCAGCGTATTTCTGGTAAAGCATTGGAAGCGCTCTTCCGTCAAGAACAAAACAGAAGAAGAAGCTTTTCGATTTGATATTCGACAAGGATTATTGTTGTCCGCTTCGTCTTGTAATAGGAACTACTTCAAGCAAATTTCATAATATTCAAATTGTTAGAATATTGTTTTGCTGTATTATATTAAGTCACGAGTATTTAATATATATTATTGTATTTGAGGCCTATCAAGGGGCTGATGACGACAATTTTAAAATTATGGTTGTGATAAACAGTAGCGAAAACCCAGCTTTGTCACCTTTTGAATTCTAATGCTGTGGCACTATCAAAAGTTGTACGAGGGTAGGGGTGCATCCAGAGGAATCCAGAGTAGTTCAAGTGATTTCCAGAAATCACTCAAATGTTTCTGAATGGGTTGAAGTGCTCTCAGAATGCTCTCTTAGGGGAGCATGCGTCCAAACCTCCCTGGTTAATTTGGTCCAAATCACTCATGTAAAACCCTGGACCCACCCCTGGAGGGACTAAAACAACTCTCGTAACTGAGACATCGCGGGAAAATTGTTTGTGGTTTAACCGATCTCTCGTACTAGTTTGATTACATGCCATGGGCTTTGAATTCTGTGAGGTTTTCGCATAATAACTTGTTTTCTATCTATTTGCTGACGTTGCATGGTTCCGTTGTTGAACTTGCCTTTCAAATCAAGTGAGCCTGCGACTCACCAACGGTCAGTCAAATTATTTGTGGATTTCCTCATTGTGTTCGCTAGTGATCATATGGAAACCTGCGAAGTCAGTCGCTAGTGTCATTAAACATAGATCACCGTTACAGCAATAAAAATAACCCAATCATTTTCATCAGACGAAATAATCTCAACGACGAAGCTCTCAACTGAGCCAAACAAAGGGTAAAAACACTCAGTGAGGAAAATGTTAAGCTTGCAGAAATTTATTACTGGAGCAACATTTAGGGTATATTTTATTCCACTTGATCTGCGATCTGGTGTGGACAAATTGCCGTGAAATTGCGTAATATAGTTTTTAAAAGGGATATATATACTTTTTTTAAAATGAGTCTTAATAGAGAAGACGATCTGAAAATGTTTTAAGCTTTCCGCAGCACCCATTGGTTACCTTACAGAAAGAACTGTTTTAATGTTACTTTATTATGATTTACTGACCACTCAGCTGTGTTATATTGGAAATCCGCCAATCTGATTGATCCCTCGTCGTTTCCTATTCGCAAATAGACAACGATTGCGCTTGCACTGCTATTGAAACTGAAAATTATTCTTAATTTTAGACTTATAAAAAAAAACGTAATTGTATTTTTTTTAATTTTTTTTTTTTTTTTTTGATGTAGTATTTAGTGTGTCTACAAACAATTTAACTACTCGTTCTATAGTCACCTCGGGTACGCCCCCTTGGCTCATAGAAAACTCGGGCTGATACTCTCTTTGTTTTGAAATATTACACTGTTATACACAACGGTTGTATGAAATAACTCAAAATTGATCTTTGCTAGCTTTTCTACTGCTTAGTCACAATTCCCAGTAATTAGAGTTGTGAGTTTTCCTTTGTTTTCTACTTTAAACCAAACCGGCAGCAAGGAAGTTCCATTAGTTGCGTAGAGTTGATGTCGAAATAGCTTGGTTAAAACGTGTTATTCTATAGCGCTTGTCTGAGATATTCGAAGACAAGAGCTCCTTGTTTACAAATGTTGTAAATATTATCAGAATTCAGATAGCTTGCGTTAATACACAAAAAATTCGTCTTGGGATTGTTGTAACTGATATTCAGGAATATTGGCCTAGAATCAAGGATATGTAAACTTCATAAACGTACATTAGAGATTCTATTTGTTAATTACCGATGTGGGTTATGATATTAAGCTGATTTTGTTTATAATCAATTCACACTACTGATATAGCTACTGAATACATTATATACCTTCTGAACTGTTTGGTAAGTTTTCGGAATAAATATCTATTGATAACAGTTTTACCAGGCAGTGTTGAATATGCTTGATACTAAGCGGTGTCGACCTGAAAATCATCGGATATTCTACATTTCCATGCATCTCCCTTAGCACTCCTTTTCTCGTTACAGAAATTAAGAGAAGGTGTAATATATCATCCAGTCCTGTCTTGAGAGCTTAATAGATTATACGAAGATATGATTGATCATCGCAGCTACACACACAACATAAGCAGTTGTGAAATTAAAGCCTGAAAAAATTTCAGGTCTGAAGGGATTCAAACCCATGACCTCTGCGATACCGCTGCAGTGCTCTACCAACTGAGCTTCCAAGACAACTGGGAGCTGGTCACATAGTGAGTTCGTAATGTACCCGTAAGTGGTGAGGAATACAAGTAAATACATGGAAGATCATATATTTGAACTGCGGAGAACGAGGATAACAGGGGATAATGGTTTGGGGAGGAATCAGTACAACGCGATATACCGTTTTAAAATCTTCAATCATTTTATTTTAAGTACTCGAACTCATCAGTTTTAATTAAGCGCTTCGAGAGCAATGTCGAGCAAGCCGTATGCCTGTCATGTTGTTTGTTTATAAGATTCCTTGCGAATGCGGCAAAGTGTATATCGGAGAAACAGGGAGAGCTAAGCGAGAGAGGATACAATAACATGACAGAGACATACAGCTTGCTCGTACACAAACCTCCGCAATTTCAGAACACGCCAACGAGACGGGGCATTTACCCATTTGGGTCAAAGTCAAGTTTATTGATCGTGACCCTCACTGGTACACACGAAGGGTCAAGGACGCTATCCATGTAAGACTTCATCCATATAAAATTAATAGAGATAGTGGAATCGAAATTTCTGAAGCATGAATACCCACAATCAGAAAGCACAACAGCCGGTCAGTTAGAAAGCGGACCTATGAGGGAACAGCGTCACAAAGTCGGAATAATGAGGATCGAAATGCACCAATAGTAGCGAACCAAGGTGCTACAAATAGCGACACGCAGCAATTGACCTCATCGCCTGATGAAGGCTAGCAGTATAGTAGTCGAAACGTCGCGATCTACATCTCAAAGTGACTCCATCGTGAGACAAACGAGTGAAAATTCATCTATCCTATTTTACACCACGATGAATAATGTGCACATCTTTAAATTAAGTTCAAGTTCAATCGAGAATGCATTCGCCAACTACATCCCAGTCGCTGCTCCTTTTCTGAGGCACAAATCTATTTATTTCATTTATATTATTGCGATAATCAAAAGTGAGGTGTTTTCTTTAATTACTGTATTTGCTGTATATGCTGTTCTTTTAGTTAAAACCCACATGTTTCTATAATTTACACCAATAAACCACGCGGGGTATTGGAGATCACGTGGTATTGTCAGAGTCAGAGCAGAAGAGCCAACTGAATTTCTTCGTGTTTCAAAGCATAGAGATTAACAGCTTTTGGGAAATTTCCATGTGGTTTATCAGCAGTACCGGTAACGATCAATCACAATGCGCGCGTCACTCCGTTATTGCATTGTAAATTAAAAGTGATGAAAAGATATCGAGATCTAAAATCGGCATGACAAAACTTCATATTTACTTCAAAAAAAGGCTTTCATATTCCAAAATACAAAGCCAAGTTCTGAAAATTGAATTTTTCCATAACAATATATACCTGCCATTAACTCCTTGAAGTATAAGCACGTTAATCTTGGGATTTTAAAACAAGAAATACACGCATAATTCAGTATTTCAGACAATTAAAGTGAGATTTGTTCGTAGGTAGGACATATATTTTACTCTTTCTCGTTTCGAGGGAGGTTTAGCGACATACTCACTGGTCTTTCGTGCCTGAGCACTGTTATAAATCTTTGACTTATATTTTTTCTATTTTCAGACAAACAGTAAATCATTTCGCAGTGCGAGATATGCCAATATTTATCGAGCGTTAAGCAGGTGCTGTGAATAGTACCTGTTAATTGTATGACCTGATTACTAAAAATTACTTTTGCCCTACAAGGGATCTTTTCAGCCAATAGATTTAACTTTCGTAATTATCATTGGAGAGTTGTTTGTTGATTGAGTGACAGCGGAAATAGGTTCAGTTTGATTGGTGCTAACTAATGATGAGTGGTATTGTATAAGAACACAGTGGAAGCTTGTATCGAGCACCATTCACGAAAAATCCACTGAGGCCGCAAGTGTTATTCAGGTAAGATGCTTGTTTGATGTTCTTAGCATTATTACATTTCTTCATACACTAAACCTGGCCCGCCAACTTAAATGTTGAAGTGAAAAGGAGAAAATGCCTTAGCTTTTTAACGTTGTTCTTCGATCCCTTTTAAAGGGGTCTTAAATATTTCCTGACTCTTAGGAAGATTGCTACTTTTCGATCGTAAGGTTCGCCCGGTGAGCTAGTGTAGACTAGCTATATTTTTTTCTATTTGCTTTTATGCCGAAATCTTATGTGAGGGCGTCAACGATTTTTTGACCCGATTGTCAATGGTACATTTCTTTCTCTGAATTAACGTGGAATTTTCTCCACTAAATTAAACCGCACTGTTGATTCTTCATTCTTCCATTAAAAACATCTTCACCATCAACTTGAAAACACCCCAGGAGAGAAAGGATCAATCTTTATTTCCAAAGCGTAATTTCTCATCGCTTTTGCATCATGATTTTGTTTGCAAGTTCAGTTTGGAAAAAAATTATCTAAATGAGACAAAACTAGTATGAAGAAACAATCACATAAACACATTAAGGATCTCGTCGTCAGTTAAACGGCTCGATCATGTGGCTGAAACGACTTCAAATCGGTTCATAAGTTGACGATACGAAAAGCACTAAACAGCATCCTACCCAGTCATTAAAATACAACTTTTAGGACGGGGTAACTCGTGTATATACTCACGTCGTGCAAGATGCTGCGAAAGACAATGAGGACATGTAAAACTTCAGTTCGCGCTTAAAATACTGTAAAATATTGAGATATTCCATTCAAATTATGCAAGTTCGATAAATTAATTTTTCAAGTAAATTTTTCTGTTTCAGTGTAGTTTACCATTGTAGACAAGTATCAGACATAAGTGGTAATGCTTTAATTGAAGGCCAGCGCAAACCCTCTCAAAAGATTTGTCTTTGTAATTCATGCTCAGATCTAGAGTCACAAGATACAATTTGTAAAATAGAAACAATCTTCTAGAAAACTTCTTCTTTCTTATCGTGTTATCTTCCTTTTTTCGGTTCTTCTAAGGAGGATCATAGTCTATTGCATGGGATTACAAACACTCTTGCTGTTTCGTGAACTAAACAGCCCACATTTACTATTTTCAGTGAAGTAAAAATTTACACCAATTAGCGCCGTGTCACTCTGTCATTAGAGTCAAATGGTTGGAAATTTCGGAATTTCTTATCTTTGTCATCTGCGTCAAGGAAACGCATAAAATCTCAAGAAAAGAAAGCTTAAATGACAAGTTACAAATAACTGCTTAAGGTGGCCAATTTTTACAAGTAGGCAAATCAAACATCTCAAACAAAACAAAGGAGGAAAAAAGCAAGATCAAATAAACCGACACCCCCAACAGAACGCCCAGATTACTACAAACCCGACAAAGGAAAGAGTGAATAATTCTTTCAAACCACAGTATATTATGAATTCAAGCACGTAACAAACAAAGGAAAACTAGGCAGATGGTCGTGACGATAACATAGAAATGCGGTACTCTTTATTTCCGACGCTGTCTTTGTCAAGGGAAAATAGATTAAGCATGTAAACAATTGATGCTCTTTCTTTCCGGCTCTTCATTCGCAGTTCTTTTGAAAAACCAGACCGAAAAGCAAACTTAAACATAAGTTTCGCCTAACGGTATAGCAGATGATTGGGACTCGCTACGCACCTCGTTATCTTTGGCAGCCGTTATCTAATATTAGAAGATAAGTAATTATATTCAGTACATTGGAAGGTGTAAGAAGCAGTGGCAACCCGTTATCACCGTCGAGGTGAAAAGGTGCATGAAAATAAAATCCACATCGACTTATTTTAAGAGCCGAAGCATGTGAAACACACGTTATAACGTCTATTGAAGAAAAGGTGAAATCGGCATTGATCCCGGCGGGCTATATTTTGGACGATGTTGATCTAAATATTTTTCAACTTACCACTTAGAAGCATTTTCGTAAATCACTAGCACTATGGTACTGAATTACAGCCATTCAATGTTCAGCCTTTTCTTTCAAATTGTACATTCGCTTATCAGTAAAAGTTATGCAACTACGCCTCAATAACAAAAACAGTAAACCCAAGTCGTCTTTTGAAAACTTAACGCATTGCCTGTTGAATCTGAAAAAGTCATTTGCTGCGCTTGCATGAAGATTGAACATTTTCATTCATCATCCTGTTGGATGAATCAGTTAAACGATCAAATGCTTTGTTCGTCACGGTAAATGTTGCACACATGAGTTTATCATCTAGTTAAGCCTTTATAACCCAAAACACTATTTATTGTAATTTGTTTTAAAAATAAATAAAGTAGCTCAGTTAGTTGCAGAAGTCAAAGAATACTTAATTGTTCATATCTCAAATAGGCAAGTGGATATCTATTGAAAGGAAAAAAAAAACAATGGCAATTAAACTGAACTCGGAATTCAGTGAACATTTCCCGATTCAACAAGCGTACTTATCAAAAACAAAACAACTTTTCTTTCATGTGCCCCGTCTTTAGACTTTTGACGAACAGAAGTTGTCATTGAAGACAAATGATAAAACAAATTCGTGGGAAATTTTTCATTCTATGGAAACTGGAAACAATCTATTGAAAGAGTGATCAGGTAACGGCAGACTTAGGTAAAAGGTTTTTTACCAGTAAATCAGGTGTTACTATGTTTCTGTACAAAACAAAAAAAATGCGACTGCATAGGCAGTTGTGATTAGGCACAATATCAACTGAAGTTTATCGAGTAAAATGGACGCACTACTGCCACTTCACTCGCCGCCCTGCTGTTTCAAAACAACACTCATCAAACACGAACCAATTAAACCAATTAAAAGGGACGCCTTCATCGGCGTCCCAAATTAACAGCTACTCTAACAACTGTAAATTTTCATGAGTTGGGAACAGAGTATGAATTGTCCATAGCAAATTGTCCAAAATCAGTCTTTTCTTGATAACGTTCGTTTATTAGTTGTTTATGCAAAAGCGACGACGGCCAAACTCAACTTGTTTATGTTTCTTTGTGGCGACCGTGCTATCGATCCTGCAAACATCGATTGTGGGTGAAGCTTTTATTACTTCCTGAATCTACTGCTTAGCTGGCTTAGAATCTGTAAACAGAAGGAGCGCGATAAAAGGAAAAGGATCACGTTTGACTGAGTATCCCGGGGTAATGTTTGCCAGAAAATTAAGGCGAGTTTGTGTTCAGCTAGACTTTGACTTAAAATCTTCCCGATTTTGACACCTACGTTACAATGACAGTCTCTTCAATAGTTAGAGTTATTTAGTTAAAAACCAATGTTTGTCACTGTCAGTACTAAGAGTCCCATCTTTAGCCTCTTGGCTTAATCTCAAACAAGATCAGCTTAATTTGTTTTCATGAAATATCGGCACCCATACAAAATGTGGATGAAATGTATGGGCAAAATATATATCTTTCATTTATGGGATGAATGTCACCGCAACTAATATAAATAAATCCGAGTATAAATATTCTTTCTGTATGTACGTAACCTTAAGTTTTAGCGTGTTTGAATTACAATTCCGCCCAGACTTTCCGAAAATAAAAGGCATTAGAATGTTCTTCATTATCGATGAAATACGTGGAGATACTGAGAGTTTTGCCTTGTAAGGTGCCTTCTTTGAAACAGCTGAATTTCCGCAACACTTTATGCACTCACTGATTCTGGTTGAGTCATTCAAACGGTGGATTGTATATCTCAAAAATTCCATGCAGTATTTTTGCACCGTGGAGTACATTCCGCGGCGTGCAGGTGTCGGGTCAGCTGGATTGGAGCTGGAGAAAAAATCGAATAAGGTCGAGGTTGCCGGGCGAGTTTTGTGGGGATCATTTCATAATTGAGTTGACCTAAAGTGAAACGAGTTGAAAGATGGAAATTAAATAAATCGTGTGTATACGCTCGCTTTTTTCTACCTAATAAAATTAGGCTAAGGTTCTGGGGTCCGTTTCTCGAAGGTCCCGAAAAGTTTTCCCACCCTGAAAGCCGTACCAAATTCTCAAAGCTTATCACTTCAGAGCTGTTTTATGCACATATTCTTAACATAAATAGAGGTTCTTTTCATACAAGAAGTTTCAGGCGTATTCACCTCTCCGTCTTTAAATACCGATTAACTAAAAATGACTTTGCGGGTCCAAAAAGTTTCCGGCGCTTTCGAGAAACGGGCCCAGGTCTCAGGTAAAGCCGTTGTATTAAACTTCCACTTGATTTTTAATAGTTCACAATATTTTTTCCCATTTCACAGAAGCGAACCTGACTGTTCACTATGAAGATTGCAATCATTCTACTTGCGATTCTGTTGGTTTGCTCTGCTAGTTATCTGGAAGACACTGAGGCAGACTCTGAAGTACTCAGCGACTCTTGTAAGTATCTCTGTTTATGACGGCCACCCTCTAAATCATTATAGATGCCATAGATCGTTATAGAGTCACAATAAACGGTCCTTTTAAGACAAGGCTGAAATTGGGTGACAAAAACAACGGCGAAACGCCTGCAACTAAACATTGAGAGATATTAGACCAACAAACTGAAGAGAAAAGGACAGAAGTGGTGTCATGGTGTCAGGGTGGACTCCAAAAAAACAACCACAAAGAAACAACCACAACATTACCGAATATAAAAACTGTCAGCAAAATAACTTTGTTTTCATGCTTAAACCAGCTGCTTCACAAACTGACTTCACGTTATTTGTATGAACGGAATAACTGGGTTTCTTTATTTCTCTACAGTTCTTCGCCAAGAGCGCGGATCCTGCATTCAGAGAAGCAACAGGCTCTGTTTCAAGGCAAATAGGGCCAATTGCCTTGGATCTTATTTCAGGAGGTTCTGTCGAATGTCATGTGGATTTTGCTGGTAAGTCTGGTAAACCAAACGTACTTTCTCGCCAATCTACTGACTTATAAAGCCAGATAACAAAGTGTCCGGAAGAGAGAGAAAACGTGTTACTAACAGGAAATATCAAGTCTAGTTAGTTCAGTGGTGATGAACATTGTTTTGAAAAATAGTATTAAACGTAATTTCAACTCAAGACTCGAAAAACTTCATGAAAAAAACAGCAAAAGAAAAGGTTATCACGAAAACAAATAACAAGGGTGTACAACCATCATTATCAGGGGTGTTCACGTTCTCTCCCTTCCCAGGCTCTCTCTCTCTCTCGCTTTCCGAATCGCATGCAACAAAGAGAAGACATTACGTACTAATGCTAACCTATAACGTCTATAACGCTTTGCGGATTTAGCTGCCGCAATGGAACATGTGAACCTACTTTAATTTTCTTTTTTGTTAGTTTTGGTTCTGATCAATATCACTGTTTGTTGTCGGTCGACTATTCAGTTCGTTTCTGCTAAATCATTAAATTTACCTCTTCCATTTAGGTGAAATTCAGTTCTAGACACATGTAACGGATACTTAAAAACTTTCCTTTCGATAAATTCACCAAGGCATCAATATGTTAAATTTGTACATCAATGAGCCAATCAGTCCAATGTCTGTTATCGTGCGTGGCCTGTCTCGACACGCGTGAGAGGAACCAAGAAGACCGAGGAAAATCAAACGCAAATTGCATGGAAATTGACCTAACCCTGTTGTTCTCAACCGTTTGCTAGTGGTCGGGTTCACATTTGTAACTAGGATTTACATCAACATTGAAATGGGTTTACTAACTTGGCGCACTTCTGTCTACTTAGTGTCTTCCAACATCAAAACTGGTGTTTACGTGTGATTTTTTTTTTTTTAATTTTTAATTTTTAATTTTTTATTTCAGATCCACCTGTCCAGTGCTGCTATCCACGTTCAGTTATTACTTCATTTATTTTCCCCTGCAGTGCTACTCGTGGATGATGGGTGATGGATAAAGAGTATAGTTACAGCATGATGAAATTTTCCTTTTAATCCATTAACTTGTTTCAACTTACTACACGAGACTGCACTTTAATTAGCCGAGAAAAAAAAAAATAAAGGTATCAATTTAAAAAGAAAATGAAAACGATTTTTGTGTGGGATTTCCCACACTTTGTCAACGCCAGCGAAACTTATTTATTTGTTTGTCCACGAGAGCAAAGCGTTTGTCACATGGTTTCTTCTTGGCGTGTAGACTGGGTTCCACTAGCAAAGTGTTTTTGTGCGGCGGCCATTAGTGTGATTACTCTTACCGGGTGTTGTTTTTTGGTGAGTTTTGACTTGTTTTTAGGCCTTAGGTCTTAGTGTTTTTAGACACTCTCTGCCGTATTTATTTTTGCGCAGTGGCTATTCGTGCACCTGTACGGCGACTTGTATTTGCTATTCGTACGGGAGTCAGAAGGTTTCATTTTATTTCTCTGTAATTGCTGATTCTTCCTTATCCAAATTGTTATATTCACCTTTAGGAAAAATAAGCGATTCCAATGAGTACCGTTTTTTTAAGCCAGATTAATTTGCGTACTCTCTGCATACTCGGCGAACGACCCACTCGCCACACTTCAAATTTTTTACGAGCCGCGATGTTAATACTCACGCACATGTCACGCGATAAGAAGGGACCGTACAGCTACTGGTATCTGCTATCCATACGGGATTCCTCGAGTATAACTAAAAGTTACCAT